CAGAAATAATTTATAAAAGGTAGCAAACATTGCTCAATACGCTATACCACTCTCCCCTTGCTATTTACCCCTTATCCATTACCCCTTATCCCTTACCCCAAATCCCTTACCCCTTATGCCTTACCCCTTACCCCTTATCCCTTACCCCAAACCCCATACCCCTTGTCCCGTACCTCAAACCTCGAATTTCCGATGCTTTTTTGCACCCAAATCATAATGAAAATTCCAAATTCAATTTCGTGCAAAAAATATAAAATATTCGTTCTCACGAAATTGTTGTTGGCTGGACAAGAAAACAACGAGCACAATTTAGCTTCACATTCCCTCCCCTCACAAAGAAAAACCACAACAAGCTACAAAAGTAGAAGCCCAGCACTCGTCGAAGTCCGGACTTCGGCAGACTTTTATCTATAGCACGCAAACAGAGACTAACCAGATTAGTATGATATTACATATCGACAAAAGAAGTGTAGATACCGGCGGACAACAACTAGCAGTCCTTCCGAGAAGAAAAAAACACGCCCTCCATCGAGGCGCCTAGGTTCTTAGCCGGGGGCGGTTTTCGTGAGGAGTCGCCACAATAAAAATGCACTTCATGAAAGGAAATCACCTTGATAGTGTGTTATGTTTTTATTAACGTTTCCCCGTTATTAGCAGTGGCTCCTGGCCTCGACTGACAACTTGGTCAACTCACAGAAGGGCTGATCACATGTAGTAGGAAGGAGTGATGACTCTAGTCTGTCGGCATCCGCAATTCCTCAATTTGTGTGTATGGCGTGGATTGAAGTCCATCGAAATCTAGAGTATGACGGAAGTCACCCTCTCACTTTCTAAAACATGGCCATGCAATAGATAGTGATGTTCTTCACCACTTACCAGCCAGTTTGTCCCTCCGCTTCTTCGTTGGTGAAGTCGGCGCGGTGTCGCAGTTTTCCGAGTCGGACCACTTCGGGTGACTGGAAAGCCAACAGGCTGTCACGCAGGATTTTGTATACGCTTGCAATAAATAAATTAAATTAAATAATGCAAATCCCTTCCTGTTGTGTGCGTCTGGCTTCGAGCGAGACCCTTCAATTGCGGTCTTCGCCGGCCCCCGGTCTTAGGAATCTTTTATTTTGATTCAGAACAACAGAGAATCATGCTAATAATATTGATCATTAAAATTATAGGGTACAACATGTTATTCGTTAAAACAATACATTCTTGTGTGTACTATTTTGAAACGAATTTATGACACATTGTATAGTCTAGTGTAGTATTCTAGATCCGGATACATCCAAACCAGGAGTAAAATCAGCTTTGAGGCGAGGAGCACAGTCAGTACATATATCTGTTGCGCTCCGCTCGTGGTTCAGATGTGTCCAGATGTAGAACACCACAGCAGAGTATACACTGTGTTATACGCCTCTGAGTCAGTACATATATCTGCTGCCTCAGTATATATATCTGTTGCGCTCCTCTCTTGGTTCGGATGTGTCCAGATGTGGAACATCACAACAGAGTACTAATATATTACACTGTGTTATAGTTTCACTTGGAGTTGAGCATCACACTCATTCGAATCAGAACAGTATAATGACATGAACTCGAGTTTGTGAGGAGTAAAACGAGTTGTGGCTCTTCACAGACTTAGAGAAGTAGGATGACTTGTATTTAGAAGTGTGAGGATTCTGCACCGATGACCGTGTACATTTGAAGGGCGAGAGAGATAGAAAGACAGAGAGAGAGAGAAAGAGCGAGAGAGAGAGAGACATAAAGAGCGAGAGACAGAGTATCAGAGAGATAGTACTTAATTTTTTCGAGACGCCGCACAGGAGCCGCATGGTCGAGCACACGCGTTCGGATGTATCCACAAGAGATAGACAGAGAGAAAAAGTCCGCAAGAAATGACAAATTAGCACGCCAAAGGGCTGAGAGATGGAAAAGACAAGCACCGTATAATCATCCACAACATTTCGTGTTACGGACGTATCGGAAGTGTCGAACTAGTAAGGACCCTTCAGTTTGAAGCTTCCCCTGGGTTTTTTGGGACACAGTTCAAGAAGTATTTTTTCCGAAACACGGAGAGAGAGAGAGAGAGACAGAGAGAGAGAGAGAGAGAGAGAGAGAGAGAGAGAGAGAGAGAGAGAGAGAGAGAGAGAGAGAGAGAGAGAGAG